GAAAGCCTCTGGTGGGAGGTCGATGGACAACGTGCTAGAGAGCAAATCGCATTGTGGTTGGACGCCTCATAGAGGGGCCGAGAAGGAAGAGAAAGGGGGTGCGTGGAAAGATGGAGGGGGGTGAGAAATCTTGTCTCGTACGAGGAGGTAGAGGCGGGACTTTGCAAGAGTGACAATCTCGGATGGGCTCTCTGAGAGGGTCACTCTGAGAAGGACTGAGAAGGATAGAGGGAGAATGGAAGAGAAGGGGAGAGGGATACATACGATACAGCGTATAGAGTACGGCGTACAGAGTATCACGGCGTACAATGTACTCGTACAGCGTAATACAGCGTAAATTCAGACAGGTGCCGTCGAATAAGAAAGGGTGGAGAATGACGAACGAATGGGACAGGATGATGCGTATGCGAGATGTGTCAAGATCCCAGCTAGTAGTGGAGTTTTTTGTATGTTTTCGAGGCCGATGAGCATGGGAAAATAGCACCTTGAGGGGCAGGAGACGAGAGGAGGAAGAGGGGAGGGACCCGGAAGGATACGAGTACCGATCTATCAAGTAGCGTCGTAGTAATATTATCTGGCAGGATGGTGGTAGCAGAGAGAATATCGAGATATCGAGTACGGAGTATGAGAGGGGGAGAAGAACAAAGGACAGAAGCGAGACAGAAAGATGGAGTCTGATGAGGGGGATAAGAGATTCCGGGGGGGGGGGGGGGGGGGGGAGCGATAAATAACGAGTATCAGGGATATGAGAACTGGTGGTAGCATCAGTGCTCTTCTTTACTGTGATGGTAGCTAATAGTAGTAATACTACTGTCACTTGCCTACCCGTACTTTACGAGTAGTTTACTGGTGAGCGAGTCGAGTCTCCATCCGTACGTAGCTAGGATTGAGGGGTGCACTGGCAAAAGAAAAAGAAAGATTTTTTTTTTTTGGTGGGCTGATTGATTATGCAAAAACCGATATGGGAAATGCGGGAGTCAGCGGAAGCACAAAATCGATTTTTTTTTTCTTTTCTCTTCTTTTTCAATTTCTTTTGTGGCCTTGTGGGACGAGGGGCACCGCGCTAGCGATGTTAGCAGAGGTAGTATCAGTATGTAAGACTCAAGTACAGTACGTATTATGTGTTCTCGCTCGGTATATTACGTTGTATTGACTTTAGAATGTTCTACAGTATCACTGATACGGAGTTAAAGAAGAAAGAAGAAGAAGAAAAGGCCAAGAAGGGAAAAGAAGGGAAAAAAAAAAAAAAGGGGGGAGTAAAAGAAAAAGAGAGAGAGAGTCATTGTTCTCTTGACGGTATATATGAAGGACGCCAGACTCGGGGGTTTAGAAGAGATTAGGAGCAGCGGGGGTGGGCTGCGATTGTCCGGGGGAATATGCACAAGGCAAGGCAAGAGCGGCCTGTTATCGGGAACGATGTACTAACCCGGCTATCAGTATCAGCCATTCTGACCCGGTCAACCTGTCGCGTGCCCAGGCAAAGAAGAGAACAAACGAAAGAGAAGGGGAAAAAGAGTTGGGAAGGAGCGAATGTGGCGACCACACACGCACACGCGCAAACGCGCACAGAGTTACGGCAGGAACGGACCAGTGGTTGGCTAGCGATAAGGAAGGACCGGTGAGTGTAGCCAAGGGAATAAGAGAATTAGCCTCGATGATGTGATTTGGCTTATTGCTCTTTCCATCACTCTCTGCTCCCTGGGCTATGCCGTAGCGCTCGCCATATCCGCGCTGAATGAGCATCTTCAATGTCCAGCCAGTCCAAGGGTGAGTCGGATAGCAGAACAGTACGACGTCATGTGTAGTTTGCGCCATCCTTGATAATACATACTCCTAGGAAAGGGGGGGGCAGCGCTGTCGGCGTGTGCGCCTGTCCCACTAGATTCACCCCTGGCCCTGTATTACAGAGTTCTTGTGGCGTGTGTGCGTGTGTGTGTGTGTGTGTGTGTGTGAGCTTTCTTTCTTCCTTTCTCGCCAGGCACTATTACGGCATCGCAGCAGGGCATCGCAGCATGAACCGGGGACAGGATATGCATGTTCCGTAGTGTCACGGGAACAGTGGTGTATCAACTAAATTGTCCGTGTTCTTCGTAATACAGGCAGTATTAAGTAATATTAATACTACTCGTATCGATACATGTAGTAAAACTACGGGTATACCATACGTACGAGTACGAGTACAGAAAGATCCTACCCCCAAGTACAGATCAATGCTGTTAACATTACCTCTTGTTGACTGACCACATACATACCGTACACACGCGCGCATACGCATACGCACACAGCCCCATGCGTACCTCTTGCTGGGCTGCTCCGACGCACGACCTTTTTTTCTTTCGGGTTGCTCGGCGCCTTCTGTGAAAATCCGGGGCACCACACATGGATGGACATACGGCACGAGGTTGAAGGGTATAGAGAGGCTAATGTAGTCGGCAATACTAACCGAGCAGTGCACCGTCTCTGCATTCTCCGTCTGCGTCTGCTGTCTGTCACTCTGTCTGTCTGTGACGTTGAATGTCTACCTCGTCAGGGCCGAAGATCGGAGTTGTCGTATCATGTCACGACGGAACGAACCCACGAGACAGGCAGACAGGTGCAGATTATTACAGCGTACGGTGTACAATAAAGAGAGGCGAGAACGGGGGACAAGAATCAATTCCTAGAATTGATGTAAAGAAAAAATTAAAATTAAAAAAATTAAAAAAATTCTTACCTTTTCCCTCTTCTTAATTTCCCAGTAACCATCGTCTGGACCCGAATTCTCTGGGAGCACGTGTTGCTGCTCTACGAGTAGAAGGCGGGCCAGGCGGGGCAGGGCAAGTTTTAGTCATATACGTACAGGCACTCCAATCTACTCGTGGTGGCACCGTTAGAGTCTAGCAGCAGAGAAATGCTTCTTTCCGTGAGAAGAAGATATCAAGGTACACACTTTGATTTTTTTTTTTCTCTTTTTTTTTTCTTCTTTTTTTTTCTCTTATAGAGTAATTCTGTAGTAGAAACCCACTCTGAATTACCTAACAACCAAGTACTGTCGCCCAGTCAGAAAATTTTGCTCATCAATCCATTTCTCATACTCTTTAGTCTTATCATTGTCTCCTGTTCTCTCTTCTTTTCCATCTACAGCTCTCTCCCTCGCTGTGCATGATGGCAGGTCACCTCATCTGTCATCACCACCCAGGCTCTCTATACCGTCCGTCATCCACTCCGTTTCACCTGCACATATGAAATACACCCTGTGATCCTCCACCGCTCTCGAATCATTACCTAATCTGCCCCTCTATTCAGGATGACGACATTCGCATCAGTCAATACACACTCTTCACTCGGAATAATCACTGATACATGCAATGTCAGAGGTACAAGCAGTAGGAAGGCATTCATCAATGCAAGCCGACAGCAACAATAACGAGATGCCAACGCTCTTCCATCGTGGACAGCAATACTGTACCGAATCTTACTAATGCGCATATGCAACCTCGTGTACTCTGGCCCTGCTATTCGTCAAGTGCTAAGCTCTAATATTGACAACCACCCGACATCTGTGATGTACTCTGGGCAAGAACCGGAGTACAGAGTCCATGGCTATGATCCGATCCCCCAACAATCCCATTCCACTCCAAGTACCATTGCTACTATCAGAGTCACAATGGCCTCGGCGAGGGCTTGATCAATGATGAGCCGTAATAAGTGTGTACATACGTACGATTGTGCAGTGCGAGTCTTCCAGCAGAGTCCATCAACTATAAACACCACTGTGAATCCCCCGTGTACCACGTATGTTTTTTTCTTTCTTTTCAGATTCCACTAGCATCGACACTACTAGCACTATTACTTAAGTGATAATTACCGCTTTTTTCTTTCCCCTCTCTTTTTCCTTCTTACTTCTTCCTACGTCGCAATGTTAAGTCGTAGTACTGTATTCGTGGTACTGTACTCGTAGTAATACTGTACTCGTATTACTGTACTCCGTACTCGTAGCATTATTAGCAGCGACCGGGCTTCTCACACACAAACACACACACACACCCCCCGATAAGCCGTCGGCCCTCGGTGCCAATGGCGTGAAGAGCGGCACGGAAAATGGCTATCAATCGGTACAAGAAGTTGATCCTGTATTACTATTATTATTTTTTCAAAAAAAAGTACTGCCAATTCGGGACGCGACCAAAGAAAGAACTAATTACCAGTACGGGTAGTACTACATGTACAGTACCATCACTACACTGAATCCATCCAAGTGGCACGGCCATTTTTTGAATCCCCCTCCTCATGGGTTGAAAGTACGTGCGTGCAACTGCGTAATGCCTGACTGCTACCAATACTGTCCGTATTACTTACTGCAAGCCATTAGGGTCATGACTACATCACACGCACACACCACACTGGAAATCGCATCTCCGCGGACCTCACCACCACCACCGCCGCCGCCTTCCACCTCCGCCAGGTTTCCCATGGAGAGAACACATAACCAAAAACATGCTATTTCCAATAATCACCCGAGAGGACAGACAAGCTCAACAGTTGGGAAGCCTGTCTTCCACCACACACACACACGCACACACACATACACACACACACACATACACTCCCTCCCTCCCTTCTTTGTACGTAACATTTTGGCATGACAGAACAATAGTACCGTTACGAGTAGATGTTACTGCCAATTCCCCCCTCCCCCCTCCTCTTCAATTCTTCCCCTCTTCAGCTTTCAACACTCTCGACTCTCCCTCGGCCACCTCCGGTCTTGACACTAGTCGCGCCCTACCGAGGCGTGGGGGAGGCGAAGGGGAAGGGGGGAGGGACCCGATCCAGATGGGACTCTCTCTCTCTCACTCTCTCAACTTTCAATGTCCGGCTTGATTGCTGAGACAGGCATCTTTACGTATGTTTGCATTCATGCATCCTGTACCTCCACAACTATATGCTACGGATACTATATATCATCTTCGTTACACACAATCACCCCAACATGTCAATATCCGGCATTGTTCAGACTGTCCGTCTATCCCAAGATCGTGTAATCGGTCGAGGAGAAGATGGTGGTACATGATACATCACCGCACATCCGCGTTACACGAGACTATCTGGCATGCTGGTCCAGTCACCCATAGCCGGTGCATTCATATCGTCTGCCGCACCCGCGCCATTCGTCCACGTTCGTTCTGTCCATATGGATCCCGGTCCGTCTGTTTCCGTCCCGGCAGAATGACTGTGTGCGAGGGAGATATCAAAGCCACGCTGAAGGCCGGTGATGTCAGCAGAGTACGGGAAGGAGCAGTGGAGGGAGGTTGAAACAAGTTTATGGGCATCGGAAGGAAAACGACGATAGAGAGAGAGAGAGAGAGAGAGAGGATGAAAAGGAGGAGAAGGAGACAAAGGCATACCCAATCCATGGCAGGCTCTGGTCCAAACCACGACGCATCAGGGTCAAACGTCCCATCCTCACCACCCCCAATATCCGATTGTATGCCCCCAAAGGCCATGGCACCGAGCGGTGCAGCAGAATGAGACATGGAAAAGGTCGCATCGAAGAAGCCGGATGGATCTGTGCCACAGAGAGCTTCGTCAGTCTCGGGGTATTCTTCATTCTTCCTCGAGAAACGGCATATACATCAATTCTGGGAGGAAGACTTCACCATTCAAACTCATCGACGACACGCGGCCGTGCAACGCAGCCTCGAACGAGCCCTCCGACCTGTCCTGTACGCCACTCAGGGTAGCGGTATCGATGTTGTTCCTGGACCTGACGCTGCCGCCCGTGGTGGCGGCAGCACCACGGGCGGCAGCATCCGCGTCTATCGGCGAGGTCTGTGCCGGCCGATCAACCGGACATCCCAGCCTGGACAAGATCAGGGCCAGCGTGTCGGCCGTCCTGCGCACCTCGCTCGTCGTCCCGGCCAGGTCATCCCACACCTTGTAGGACGTGTAGATCAGACCCTTCAGGTGCTCCCTCGTAGGTGGCGTGGACAGCGACGACGACGACGACGACGACAGAGATGAAGACCTCGCAGGGTCCACCCACACCACCTTGCTGTCCGGGTTGTCGTAGTGCTCCGATTGTATGATGTAGTACACCACCATGGCGGCGAGGAGGTAGTCGTGGACGGACAGCGAGGACACGAACCACCTGTGGCCCGAGAGGCTGCGGCCCGGCCGCGAGAGCTCCCATATCAGGCTCTGGGCGTTGAGGAGTGACACGGCGGCGTCGAGGCACTGCTGTCGCGAGTAGTCGTGCAGCCTCCTGGGCGAGGGTCCCATGTCGGCCAGGTACCGCCTGTGCAGCACGCACCGGCTCTTGTTGTACAGGGCCGATATGCCGAAGCGCTGCATGACCAGCGCCGGGTGGTCGCCTATGCTCTCCTCCGTCGAGCGGACCATCATCAGCGGCGGCACCTTGGCCCACTCGCGCTGCAGCTCCGCGTCCAGCCGCATCACCTCGCCGTACTCGGGCGACCTGAGCGCGTGCGCCTGCCGCGATATCTGCCCGAATACGGCCATGATGCCGCGCTTTAGGGCCGCGTACGTCACCGGCGTCCAGTCCGACATGGGCCGCGACGCCGGCAAGGTGCCGGTGTTCTCGTCAAAATCGTCGTCCTGCAGGTTGCGCGGGAGCTGCGCGTCCGAGTCGATCATGGTGGCCATGCCCGGGAGCCCGACGTGGAACGACACCAGCGTCTCCAGAATGACGGCCTGGTTCCACAGCCGTCGGCGCATCTCCCCTTCGAAGGGCGATATGCCCGCCAGCTTATCCGGGTCACGGTGCAGGCCCAACTTGAGCATTAGGCGAAGGCACAACCCCGACAGGACATAAGACGACATCTGCGTCGCGCGGTTCAGGTGCAGGTGGGAGCCCAGGTAGAGTACCATCGCCGGGAGCGTCGTCTGGTCTGGCTGCATGTATTTCCCCGCAATGAGAGCCCACCCCGCGCAGATGCGGTAGTGCCTCACCCGGTCCGCCGGCGGGATGGCCGAGTCCTGCTCGATCTCGGCAGGCGCCTGGTACTGACTGTAGTAGACGCCCATCGAGAGTATCATGAACACCTGCGATATCCAGTGTAGTGTTGCGCTATCGGGGTTTTGGCAGAAGCGAGCGTACTTTGCTCATGTAATTAGAGTCAGTATCCCATCACACCAGACCAATGCGTCTTCTATCGCTGCCATCTTACCATCCGCGAAAACTGCCCCTTGTGTACAGTGCCTTTGATATCATAGTCAGCCACCTGCTTACGACGATTGGTGGGTCGACAGGACGTACACTGCGATGGACTCAGACACTCGAAATATCTCGACACGAGCCGGGCCATCACGTTCTTCTCGGGAAGCTGGGAGATGAGATCCTCGCGCGTCACCGTAGACGAGGAGCCAAGCTCGGACATCAGCAGGTCCGGCTCCTCGAGGTGGCTGAACGGTGGTGAATCGCTGTCGTCTTCGTCTTCCGAGTTATCAAAGTATGCCTTGAGATCTTGGATCTACAATCATCAGTCACCAGAGTCAGTATCGTATATATATCTCTCTCCCTCTCTCCCTCTCTCCCTCCCTTGTGATCCGGGAGTCCCCAGAAGGCTCCACTGGGATGGAGGAAGGCACCCACATCGTCAAGCATAGCCATGCAATGCGTCTCGCCAATATAAGAGGTCACCTCATTCTGTCCCCGGATGACCTGTCCCTGCAACTTCTTCGCTCCTCCTCTCCATCCTCCTATGGACTTTCCAACCCCCCCGTTCGTCTGTCCCGATGGTCTATTGAGTTTCCCATCCTCATCCATCATCTCCCGCACTACACCCTCGAGATGCTTCAGTCGCGTAGACATGTTCTTGGGCGTCGGCCGCGGCCGCGACCGCTTCTTCTCCGGTCGGGGAGCGTACTCGCATAGATCCTGTCTCTCCTTGCGGGAGCACTGCCTGCATGGTTGTTGGCGGTCGCATCTGAGCTTCGACGTGCGGCATGGGGCGCATGAGAGGAGGATTCTGCTACGCTTCTGTCGTCGCTGATGGGCCCCGCTTCTGTCGCCCCCGTTGATATGTGAGGAGACTTCGCCCGGGCCGGGGCCTGTGTCCATGGTAGGTGTATTTTACGATACCTGCGTGTTTGGTGAGGGCACGGACGGGTGATGATATAAGAATGTTAAGTTTGTGTATGTGTTGGAAGACGCATATTTGTCATGTGGCGAGATTGGATGTTGGACTGTCAGCACGAAGGGTGGCATGTGGGAATGCTGTGTGAGCAACGGTTATCATGGACTGGACGAGTATTACAGCCGGGGTTGCAAATCCGCGTAGTGACGGTATCAAGATACTTGTTATTGCCATTTCCCAGGTATTCTGGCTTTCTTACTTCCTTTGATTATCTTTCTCTCCTCTCTCTCTCTCTCTCATACGTCTTGCAATTCATTCCGTATCAACCACTGCTACTAGGTATGTACAATAGCATCCCAAGTAGGTACGAGTACGACATCCTCTTGCCTGGCAACATTTCCTGACAAGACAACTAGTACAGCACACGACAAAGGGCATTTCGCACCGGTGGTTTGATGCCAATACGTATGGTATCTTGAGATGAATGAAGACCCCTCTCAAGCGATATAGTTGGCCCAGAACACCGCACCGCCAAGAACAACAGCACCTACAGCCCACGGCGTCGCAACCTTCAGTCCATCGATAGCAGTGTGCATAAGCTTGACCTTGATCTTTGCCTTGAGAACGGCCGCCTCATTGACCCAGGGAAAGTCAACGTCGGGAACAGGCTTGTCCAGGAACGCGCAGAGACGCGGCCAGCCCTCCCCAACTCTATACTCGAGCAGATTATCGGGCGGCACGGCGTCGCGCAGCTCCCGGTGGTGGCGCTCATACGTGGCGCTCAGGTTGTGCCGGGCGCCGTCGACGTCGCTCGCGCGGAAGAGGCCCAGGGTGACCTTGCGCATGGCAACGACAGCCACGGACCCGATCAGGGGGGCAAAGATCCAAGTGACAGTGGAGATGAGCGGGTTCCACAGCCCGCGGAGGACGGTGTCGTCTACGCTCCGCGCCCAGGCGTCGTAGTCGCGGATGGGCAGGACAACCTTGGCCTTCGGGTACGCGCGCACCATGAGCGCACCAAAGGCGCCAGCCATGTCGGTCGACGCCTCGCAGGGTCCGTACAGCTCCTCCCACTGGTCGTGCGTGAGGGGCGGGCCGCCGTTGTAGCTGGGAAGGCAGGGGAAGGAGGCGTCGGCGGCTCGGTTGAAAAAGTGGTGATCGTCCAGCTTGTCCATGATGTCCACGCCGTGGTACACGTCCTTGTATCCCAGGATGCGGAGGGCCTCGGCAAGGGAGGCTGACCCCGTACGAGGGAGACCCATGACGAGCACCTTCATCTCGCGTTGGGGGCGGTCGTTTTCCTTTTCCGTGGCGGACATTTCTGCTGCTGTTGCTGCTCATAGAAAGTATGCGGTTCGTATGGCGTTTTTCCCGCCTTGCTTTTTGCTAGAATTGCTCCCATGGTGGCTGGAAGCTGCGACTATCGGAGCCCTGCCCAGCCAGGCTCTGGCAAGCACTAGCGTAAGACATTCCACAACACTTCAAGCAGGTTAGGAGTGATTCCGAGCATCTTGAAAACGCAGTGTTTCGCCATACCTCTCGGGACGCATCCTTATATACCTTGCTCGAGGTACTGATGCATATCAATTTCCATTCAAATCTGCTAGAAACTGTACCTAACACTCACTATCGTAGAGCGAGAGAATCAGTGGCAGTCGATTTCTCCATAGCATGCAGATCAATGAGAGGTGTAACCTAGCATGGCATGCTTCGGTGAATCTAGCACTGTCATGCAGTCTGACCGTACTGACGTTCTTTTTGTGCAGTCCAGAGAGACTGCACTTGGATAGTAGAGTAGCAGTAAAGCATGTCGATGCATGTCGGTTGATGATGTAAAGGTTCCGAAACTTGGATGAGCACAGCATCACAGCTGTCCCGTACTGCGAGTATCGATATTCAGTAGCTAAGGGGGGCCCGGACGGCCATCAACTGCCCCGCCAGGGCCCTGTACACTGCAGCTCAGATCCCTACGCGGGCAGGTATGAGTTACTAACCCGTACAGCGCCAGTGGACGTTATAGCGCCCTTGGACATCAGCGGGACAACGTTACGGCCTGTGGCTCCCCGTCAGAGCAATTGAGACCACCACCCCCACCAACCTAATCACTGCCTTTCCATCCATCCAGCGTTTGATCAAGTGGGGGCCGGACCTCAAACCTCTTACCGAGTAAACATCGACTCACCTCTCCCATAAACTACGAGAGTATACGGCATACACACAAGAGGGAACATCATATAAAAATTGGAAATTAAAGAGGGCAAGTCTCACCAGGGAGAACTATTTTTTTTTCTCTTTCACCCTCCATTTCCTCGTCTACTCTTCATCTGCACACTCTCCCAACCCCGCTCCTATAATGTCTGACAAGCCCGACAATGATCTCGATCAGGACGGCGTGAGTACCATTTGCCACATCACCTCGTTCATATTCATCAACACCCGTCCCCGCGCGCACATGAGCATGATGCACTCCCTGGCAAACAGAACCACTGCTGACACGACGAGGTAAAGCCCGAAGATGCCCGTCCCGATGTCGCCGCCGCCGTCGACGAGCTCCTGAACACCCTGTCGACCAAGTTTGCCAGCATCTCGTCCGAGATGGCTGCCAAGAGTGAGTTACATATATCACGGCTCTGATTGCACCACCCTCTAATATCTACAATTAGTGGACGAAATGTCAAAGCGTATTGACCGTCTCGAGGCCGAGTTGACGGAAAACAAGGCCCAGGACGGGGGCTCAACCAAGCCGTAACACTCTTTTCTTGTACTACGACTACTATAGGACACAACATGCACAAAATACAATGACGGCGGGATCATGCAGGGAGGGGCAGGCAATCGCTAGATAAACATGATGGCTTCACCGATAATGACAAAAAAACTTGATTATTCTTTATTTTCTGGTCGATCCTACAAAACGTGATTCTGAATTTCCATCGGGTTCCCAAAGGCATTGAGAGAGTTCATTTGCACTGCATCCAATCTTTCGAAGGAAGGCCTTCTTCTGCCACTTGCTCGTTTGTTTGTTCATTCCTGCTTTTGCTTTGCCTCACTGCTTCAAAGCTCATCCTTGACCTCACCGGAGAGCTTGGCGACGACCTTGCGCAGCACGTTGGTCTTGCTCTGGAGCTCGTCGCGCTTGGTGGGAACCAGCCCACCCTTGGACAGGATGCCCTCGAGACGAGCCAGCTCCTTGGAGGCGTAGTCGTCCTTCTGGCTGAGCTTGTCGAATACACGCACGTAGTACTCGGCGTACGTGTGCTGGGCTGTGTCCTTGAGCTTCTCGGCCTCCTCCTTGGCCTCTTTGATGAGCTCGCCGGCCGTCGAGGCGGTAGTCAGCTTGCCGACGACGGCATCGAGGGTGGCGACGGTGCCGGCAACGGCGTCGAGGCCACCACCGGCGACGCGGTGGGTGCCGGCCTTGTCGTTGACAAACTTGACAATGTCCTTCTCGCTGCGGCCGCTGTTGAAGTCGACGGCCTCCTTGCTGCCAGCGGGGAAGAACTTGATGGTGGGGTATCCGCTCACGCCGTACGCCTTGGCGGTGGCCTTGCCGGTGGGAGCATCGGCGTCGACCTTGGCGATGACAATGTTGGCGTCGTTGGCGAAGTCGGTGGCCACAGTCTCCCAGATGGGGGCAAGGCTCTTGCAATCTGCGAGGGGGGGGGTTGTTCTGTGTCAGCTACGGTACTGAACCGCCACTCGCTCAATACGTAGGCTGAGCAGAGGCATTATAGGGGCAGAAGGGAAAGAGAAGAACATACGTCCACACCAAGGAGCAGTAAAGGCAACCAGGACGTTCTTGTCACCGCCGACAACAGAGTCAAATGAGCTGTCATCGAGCATCTGCACGTCGCTGGGCATCTCGAGCTTCTTCTTGGGCTTGGCGTCGGTCTGGGTCGTGATGAAGGTGGTCAGGCTGTCAATGTCGCGGCCGGAGCTGTATTCGATAGGCTTGTCGCTCGTGCCGTCAAAGAACTTGATGGTAGGGAAGCCCTGGATGCCGAACCTCTTGCCAAGCGACTTCTCGGCGTCGGCGTCAACCTTTGCGATCTGCACCTTGTCCTTGGCGTGCTCGAAGGAAGTGGCTAGCTCCTCGTACACGGGAGCCAGCTTCTTGCAATGCCCGCACCATGGGGCGAAGAACTCGACCAGAGTCGGCTTTCCGGACTTGAGAACCACCTTGTCAAAGTTGGAGGGAGTAAGGTCGATGACGGCCGAGCCGGCGGCAACCGTGGCGGCCAGGGCGCCAAATACAAATGTCTTGATAAGCATTGTGGTTATGAAGAACAGCAGACAAAAACTCGACTTTTACAAGAGTTTATAGAGACGGAATAATTAAAAGGAAGAAGGGGTTCCAATTATATTCCTTTGAAAGTTACCGTAACTTCCCAAGGTTGCTTCTTAAAAAAACCCAGAGCTTTAACCCAGAAGAAGACAGCTTGTATCAAGTCAGCGGGGGGGAGGTCACAGTTACTAGTTACAGAGGTACATACAAGACGAGCTTACAGAGCAACAGCCCCCTACTTGGCATTGTAGGCTCTAGTAGTCATACCCCACCAAGCTCAGTGCTGTAGCCTGACGAGTATTATAATGTATTGCCAGGGGAGTCCGCCCCGATTGTAAGCACGTGACGATAGGCTCCACGTCACTGGGCGGCAGCAAAAAATATGAGTCACGTGAAGAAAACCCTCCAATTCGGATTGGCGGGCCACCAATCGGGCCCTTTGAGAAATTCACACAAAATTTCCCATTATCCTGATCCCATCGCGAATATCATCCACCCCCCACGACTTTCCGCCAAACGAACCGACCGATCACACAGCTCTTCGGAACGACAACCGCAATCATGTCTCACGAGAGCGTCTGGAACTCGCGCCCGCGCACCTACGGCAAGGGCTCGCGCGGCTGGTACGATTTTCCTGTTTTCTACTACCCTTCTGCCTTCCCTCGGATGCGATCCTAAACCTAGGGCCGGGGTGGTGATTGCTGCGAGGCGAAAGAGATAGAATGAAGACCACCACCTCTGGCCTAGCATGTCTTTTCTCCCTTGCCAGCGCCATCACCCGGCCTTTGTTGCTTCGTCCCGTGAATCATGCAAAAGCAGTCAACACACAACGTCCAAATGCTGACAACTTCTGTTCTATAGCCGCGTCTGCAAGCACAAGGCCGGTCTCATTCGCAAGTACGACCTCAACCTCTGCCGTCAGTGCTTCCGCGAGAAGGCCAAGGATGTCGGCTTCACCAAGGTATGTAATATATACACCTTTCTTCTCTCAACAACCTACTACACTCCCAGAGCTTATAGGAAACTGACCCAACCAACCTACTGCAGTTCCGATAAACGTATCGATCCCCACAACCTGACGGCTCCTTTGTTATTTCTTGAGAGGAAAAATTGGAATTTTATGAACGAGAGGGCATAAAAAAAGACGATGGTTCTGACCCAGCGGAAGAAGAGTGTGCTGTAGCCTCGTGACAGAAAAGAGGGAAACAAAAGAAACCAAACCAAACCAAACCAAAAAAAAATAATCAACAAGATTTTTTTCACAAAAAAAAATACTCGTCACTGGGATTAATCACACACAACAAATCAAACCCTTCTCTCGCATGGGCAGGCCGGTTTTTTCTATTGGAACCGGAGTTTTACAAAACAAAAGGCTTTTTTTTTGCTTGGTTTTTTTTTATTTTTCCTTGACGCACACACACACACACACGATATGGAAAAGAGCTCGCGTCTTGACGAATGGATCTCTCATCTTGTGAGGACGAAAAATTCACCCATTTACACTGGAATGCTGCTATACGACAAGAAAATAAAAGAGAGTCCCCTTGTTTCCCCCGCCTTTTCCTCCGCCTTTTCCTCTAACCAATCTCTGGCGAAATTAGCGTGGACGTCGACTACTACTACTACATGTCTGTGTGTGAGACGAGTGCGTTCTGTCTGATGTTTTCTTGCCTGTCAGTTGCCCTGTGCTTGACGGCCTGTGTAATATTTTGATCCCGGTGCAATATTCTATATTGTTGGGAGCCTATCATGTAAAGCCCGATTCACGGGCATTGATTTATTCTCCATACCTAATGGCCTGCCCAAGATTCCGTACCCTACCTCTCTACCTGGATCGGACCCAATACGTATTATTGGCACAGCTTTACATGAGCGATACTACCTTCACCCTAATGAGACTTGGTAAGAGTAAATGACCGTGCATGCTTGAGCTGGAGAAAAGATTGTGTAATGGTAAATGTTACAGCAGGAGAGTTGTCATTGTACATATCATACATGGGTTTCTTCTTTTTATAATCTAAATCGTACACCGCCATCCCTTTTTTTCGTTACAATTGAGCAGCTCTTCTTTCCAGAGATTTCCTCATTCCATTCTCTTCTGCCTAGAAAAGAAGAGAGCATTTATTTCATGACACGGGTGCAGAGACCAGTGGCGACAGTGCGGCCACCCTCGCGGATGTTGAAGCGCTGGCCAACCTCGATGGCGTTGGGGTGCATGAGGGTAGCGACCATCTCGACGTTGTCACCGGGCATGACCATGCGGTTGGAGGCATCCTCGGTGCCCTCGGGCCAGGTGAGGTCGACGGACTCGTCAGCGGTACGGAGGTACAGCTGGGGGCGGTAGTGCTGGTGGAAGCCAGAGTGGCGGCCACCCTCCTCCTTGGTGAGGACGTAGAGCGAGGCGAGGAACTGGGTGTGGGACTTGACGCTGCCGGGCTTGCAGACGACCATGCCGCGGCGGATGTCCTCACGGCGGATACCACGGAGCAGGAGACCGGAGTTGTCACCGGCCTGAGACTGGTCGCACGACTTCTTAAAGGTCTCGATATCGGTGACCTTGGTCCTGATGGGGGTCTGGCCCTTGCCGACAATCTCGACCTCCTCCTCGCGCTTGAGGGTACCGCGCTCGACGCGGCCGGAGACGACGGTGCCACGGCCGGAGATGGAGAAGACGTCCTCGACGGCCATGAGGAAGGGCTGGTCCATGTCACGTTCGGGTGTGGGGATCCACTCGTCGACGGCGGCGAGGAGCTCGTCAATCTTCTGGCTGCCGATCTCGGGCTTCTGGTTGTTGAGGGACATCAGGGCCGATCCCATGATGACGGGCGTCTCGTCACCCTCGAAGCCGTACGTGTTGAGGAGCTCACGCATCTCCATCTCGACGAGCTCCAGCATCTCCGGGTCCTCGACGGCGTCGACCTTGTTGACGAAGACGACGATCTTCTGAACGCCGACCTGGCGGGCGAGCAGCAGGTGCTCACGGGTCTGGGGCATCTGACCATCCGAGGCAGCCACGACAATGATGGCACCGTCCATGTTGGCAGCACCGGTAATCATGTTCTTGATGTAATCGGCGTGGCCGGGGCAGTCAACGTGAGAGTAGTGGCGGTTCTCGGTGGAGTACTCGATGTGGGCCGTCGAGATGGTGATACCACGGGCACGCTCCTCGGGAGCCTTGTCAATGGCGCCGTAATCGAGGAAGTTGGCGAGGCCCTTCTCAGCCTGACGCTTGGTGATGGCGGCAGACAGGGTGGTCTAGAGATATTCGTAATTTTGCAAGTCAGACCAGCCCATTCTACCACCCCTTTCTTTATATGCGCGCAATATCGCCGTCAAATATGAGCAGCACCGGGGAGAACTCACCTTTCCGTGGTCAACGTGACCAATGGTACCGATGTTCACGTGAGGCTTGGAACGCTCAAAAGTGGCGTATGTGCGGTAGACGTGGGTGAAGCCGGCGGTAGACTGGCTCCTGAGCGCAGACTGAAGGGGGTTGGCGTAGCCAGTCCTGAGACCGTGGCGCGCGGTCCGCAGGAACGGCGCAAGAGTCTTGAAAGCAGTCGACATTGTGTTCGTGATGGTCTTCAGAGGAGTAAAATTACAAACATGAATTAAAAAGAATAAGAAGGAGAGGGTGGGGAAAAAAGGAATAGAACACAAAAAAGGGACGTCGGTCGGCGATGGGAAGAGAGAGAGAGGGAGGAGGGAGAGAAAAGGTAATGAGCTCTGAATTTTTTTAGAGCTTCTCCTACTGGCGGTCCATGGGGCCTAGGGGAATCCACTCGGGAGGACGAGGAAGGAGAAGGTCAAGGGAAGTCACGTGGGCACGCGCCACGTTAGGGGTTGGCGTTTTTGCATCGCCAACACACTAGATGTCGAGCAGTGCCAGTTGATACCCGTGCAGTAGTGCTAGCATTACTTGCAGTATTACTTGTAGTATCGGTTACGATATGAGTATGTGTATCCATTCAAACGATATGTGGCAAGTCCTTTCGATATGAACTTTTTTTGGGGTCCAAATCAATGAAGTGCTGTTGCGTCGTCGTCGTCGTCGTCGTAGTATACACCATGAACCAGAGGCCACATATTATAACCAAACTATCAAACTAAGGCGATCAAAGATCGAAAAGCATCTGAGGTACATGGCAACTCAAGCAGCCCACAAGAATGCATGGCAAGGATCATCATCATTATTGATTATTATTACTACATTCATTTATAACAGCAGATGCCTTCCCCCCCCATTCGTTACAGTATAGGAAAAACCCTAGCCCACGACTTGGTCGCCTCATTGTCCAACCGTGTCAAGCAAATACCTCGACTACGCGTCCACGAAGACGTAAAGCATGTAAAGCATGACCCAATGACCTTTGGTATATTCCTTTTTCTTCCCGCTTCACTCCCTCGGTACATGAGCACTTTAAGTCCCGTGACACACACACGCATGCCCCTTTAATCCTCCAAAAGGTCGGCAATGTCCTTGTCATCGTCCTCTTCCTGTTTCCTCCTCTCCTCAGCCTCCATGAGCTGCTTGAGCATGAGCCTCTGCCTGGTCCTAGCCTTGGAGCCCCAGTCGGCAGAGGTAGCCTGAGCATCCTCATTGTCGAGATCGTCGAGCTCGTCACCGGGGGCCTTGGCTCCACGCAGCTCGTTGGGCGAGATCTTGGCGACCTTTTCCTTGGCATCCTGCTTCTCCATCTCGTCGAGCTGGCGCCTCCCGAGCCACCTCATGATCTGGGTGCGGAACAGCATGTAGCCTCCGGCGATGATGACGAGACGCAGCCACTCCTTGGGACCCATGTCTTCAAAGGCGGACTGTAGGTTATTGCTGAACCGCTGGCCATACTTGAGGAACTGGACGGTAGCCTTGCCAAAATCGTTCAGATGAGCCGCGTCAGCCTGCGCTGTTTCTGTTGCTGCGTCCATTTTGTGTGTAGAGATGAGAGGGTAAGGTAGATGAAAGGTGAGTAGGCGAATGTGATGTATCCCTTGCGATGGTTGCTGCTTTCAGAGGGGTATATGTGTCTTCTTCAGTTAACTCAAGTCGTCGAGATAAACGGGAAAGAGAGGAGTAAAGAAGCGGAAACAGCCCGGTGATAGAGGAGGGTAAGGGTCGTGAGAGTGGATGAGTGAATTTACGCTGAGGGATACACCTTGATGAAGAACAAGTGAGATTTGATGTTCGGGCTAAGCGGCAAAGTCGGCTTGGGTAGGACGCGAACGAGGTTTTTCGGCTAGACGTTGGTTGACGCACCTGGACGCTATCAGCTGGTGTGGTCAGAAAAGTGTCACGTGATGGTTTGTGTAATATATACTCGTCTCGTATATACACATATACGAGTCCGGAGTAAACCGGAGGTCTCAGCCGTCTATATCCAGTACTACCACGGAGTAGCACCCTGGACTTTGAAGACGACGACGCAGCTTTACGCCATCGGATTGAACTCACGCGCCACAGCCTTTGTTCGGATGAAGAAAGCTGACCCTGCCTAGATTTCGTATATGAACAGCCTTTTTCTTTTTTGGACTGATTACGAATAAGAATGTATCAATCTTTTAACAACGGCAGAAGAGAGGCTACTGGTAGCACTAAGCTGTTACCTTGGTGACACGGCCACTTGATCGATAAGAAATTAGAGCCTGTACAAAACCACCTGGAAACCACCTGGAGCATCCATCGTCAACAAAAAAACTTACCCTGAATCCTGGGTTGACGTGGCACTCGCGTCAGAACGATAGCATCATAGTCATGAAGGGTAACGACGACAAGAATCAAAGCTTGGGAAGGGTATGGGAGGGTGGGAGGGTAATTTGTGAGCAGTGTAGAATTATCATCCAGAAACCCAAGTCATATTGAACTGCTCGTCAATTCGAGAAGACTCCTTAACGTTAGGCGAATAGGTACGTACATGTAAACCACCATCATGAAACCACCATCATACTCTATAAACTTCGATATGATATGGACGCTATCATACATGTTCCCGTCGTATTATAACTCGACTCCGTGGCAACGTCGTCATTGTCGAAACACTGTATAGATTACAGATTACAAACAGTCTAGTAGTGAAGCGCTCGTATCCCAATTCATGCGCCTCCCATACGCAAAGAATCATTGCATACTCGGATGCTACTGCGCCGCTTCGTTCATGCACCGCAACGACACTATTGCCGTATTTTCATTAGCCTAACAATAATGCCCGGCAATAACAATGGACCAATTGCCTTGATTGAGGCATGCAGCAACGCACACACGAAAAAAAAAAGGGTGGGGGACCCTATCCTGGCAACCTAGAATCACGTACCAAAGGTGGAGAGCCTCCCCCCCCCCCCCCCCCCCCCCCCCCCCCCCCCCCCCCCCCCCCCCCCCTTCCTCTCTCCTCGGGGGGAAGAGGCCGACAAGGATGGACAGGCCTGAAGAGAGGCGGGGCATAAGCCGCATTGGATTGCAGGTCAACAGGCCGCCCGAAAACTTGGCCAACAACCCTTCTGCATCTGTCCTTGCACTCTTCAAGAGGTTGGTTGAAAAAGAAAGCAAGGTTGACGGCGTATTCAATCATTGACTTCTCCTTCACCTTGATGCCCATGCTCAGCAATTGTCACTGTCTGCCCATCAAAACTGCCACACACACACACACACACACCCCAGCCCTTATCGCGGGGCCCCTCCTTGTTGATCGGCAACAATAAACAAGAGCCCAATTCTTGTTTGCTGCCCTGCTGCAGCCTGCCGCCTCTGCTCACCGGCTCAAATTCCGGTGTCTTTTCGTTCCACCATCTTCCATAACGACCGAAAAAGAGACATTCTCTAGCAACCTCTCAATTCTCCTCCCACACCACTCCCTTTCTTTCCCCAGCAGCTACGTCAAGGACAACATTCGCTGCTGGGTCCCACCAGAAGGATATTACGCTCTTACCATGCTGGAGTGTCGCCCAATCCCACTCTGACCAGCATCATGAGCCAACCTGTTGACATCCATACCATCCTCGAGAAAGGTTATTTTTCAACCTCTGGGGGCAAGATGTGAGTCCTCTCCCTTTTCACCCTCTCCCTCTCGACTCTCGACTCTCGACTCTAGGCCCGTCCCCCATCGTGCCTGTCTTCATATTGACCCTTTGTGCGCACCCGCGTTCCTCAGCAGCCCCCCCCCCACTCGACTGCCGTCATCGCCGCCGTCGCCGACACCGCCGTCGCCCCCGAAACACACCACCCTCCTGCGAGACCGCGTGCACGTACCGGCCATAGAGCCGAGGGTGCCACGATTCCGACCGCCCCCACCAACGGTAGAGGATGAGGGTGAGTCGCTAGAGAGGGAGTTTCGTGGTGCTGCCATCTACGACGATGCTACCCCGGACGACCACGTCCGCGAGAGGGGCGAGGTCAACCAGTGCCCCGTGCTCGTTGAGGTGCACGAGCACAACCCCGAGCGACGCTTCGTCCTCCTCTCGAATTCATCCGACAGTACCACCACCACCGCCGCCGCCGCCGCCGCTACTACCCCTTCGCGACCGGGCAGCACTGGCGTCAAGAAGAAGACTGATGGGGCAACTACCCCTACCCGGTCGGAACGACCAAGTGCGCCATCGTCCAAGCTGTCACCGACGGCGGGCGGGGATACTGAACAACCACCCCCGCTCGAACGAAAGCGAAGCAGACAAGACCTGCCATCCCTCGACACGGATATGCGCCAGCCTCCCGTCCCGGAGCACCATCGTACCCAATCTGCTGCGGGGCCCAGGCCCACCAGCTTCTCCGCGAGGCCGTCGGTACCCGTGCACGATGAGATGCCATCCCCCGACGTGACAAGTAATGGTCTACCGAGCAGGAGGGAAAAGGCCTACTACAGTGCCGACCCGTATCCGATATCTGACAGCCGACGACTCGCAACGCAGAGAAGCTACTCGAACCTAGTTGACGATCGCCACCGTGACAGGCCCCAACGCCAGGAGAGCATGACTCCAGCCCCCGGCGGCCGGTCCGAGTCGACGCCAGACCCGCGGAAACTGCGAAGGCGTGTCTCAAACGACCAGATGAGCGACGCTAGCTACGCCGAGGAATCGGCCGCTGCGCGGGCCAGCAGACGGGAGAACCCCTATTACCGGCGGGAGGCTGTCCCAGCAGCAACGGCGTCGTCAAAGCCAATGGGACCCAGGCCGCGCAAGGAGAGTATGTACGAGGAGCCGGTACTCCAGCCTCGTACGACGACAACACGCCGTCGGGACGACTCTGCCTCGATCCACCAAGACACTCTCCCCCCGATCCCTGCGCCGGTCCCCGTCCCCATTGTGGAAAGAGAAAAGGGCCTCAAGGTCGAGGCCAAGACACGCTCGCGACGCTCTTCCGTCTCCAGGTCTACACCGCCGCCGCCGCCAACGTCAGCACTTCCGAGAGAGGCAACGCCTGTCATTCCACGTCCTAACTCCACGTTTCCAATCAGCAGTGACGAGCATCACCTGTACTCTGCCGGTGTACCTACCGGCCGAGCCGGGCGGTCGCCAGTGCTCCCAACGCAGACGCTGTATTCCAAGTCGAGTCCGGAATTGGTGCCTGGGTCACCAGCACCCAGGAGCCCTGAATCGGTAAAGACGACGATACCCCCCGGGTCTCCCTCCAAGACGGGCAACTGGCCACCCAAGTTTGATCCTGAGCGGGACCACGCACCCGTGGAGCAGGATGTCGGCTACTACAGACGCTTCTCAGAGGGCAGGGACACGAACGGGATCCCGGTACTGCCGGATTGCCAGCGCAGGGAACCTGTGGCAGGAAAGATGGACTGGCTCACTCTCCCGCGCAGCGACATGAACATCTGTCCAGACTGCTACCGGGGGGTATTCGAAAACACCGAATTCCGCACGCACTTCCAGCCTATGCTACGGCCGGCCGACAGACCGATAGCTTGCGACTTCGGGTCGACGCCGTGGTACCGCATCGCGTGGCTGTTGAGCCTCAAGAACGATCACCCGGATCTACGACTTCTGCAGCAGGTGGACAGCACGGCGAACAAGTGGCGCGGCAGCCAGCCGTGCCCCGGGCCCAGGCCGACGTCCCGTGGCTGGCTGACCATCTGGGACCCGTACACCCGGCGACCCATTCCCAACTTCACCGTCTGTTACGAGTGCGCAGCCATGGTGGAGGTCCTGCTCCCCAACCTGGAGGGCATCTTCGCGCCCCTGGACCCCCGACAGGAGCCCCTGACGAGCGTGTGCGCCCTGCACTTCAAGCCGCAGCGCAAGCGTTTCGCCCTCTACTTTGACGCGCTCGAGACGACAGCGGACCGGGCAGCCTGGTACGGCGAACCGCCCGACATAGAGGCGCTGGCGGCCAAGATTGACCGGCTCAGCGCCGTGGACGAGTGCCGCGAGGGCAAGCGGATCCCCGACACGCACTGGTACACGATGCAGTTCCTGCCCGAGTTCACAGTCTGCGCTGACTGCTTCGACGCCGTGGTCCGCCCCCGCCTGGCCACTGACACGGTCGCCCGCAACTTCTTCAAGAACCCGCAGTGGGTGGCCAGCGCGGCCTGCCAACTCTACTCGGAGAGGATGAGGGAAGTCTTTGCCAAGGCGTGCCGTAGAAACGACCCCAAGTATCTCCAGTCCAAGGTCCATGAGAGGCGCATGATCGAGGCGGATATTAACGAACAGCTCGCCAAGTTGGATAGGATACGTCATGAAGATCCTAGGGCTGACCAGCAGTTTGAGACGTTGATACACGACTGGAAGAAGTGGGAGTGATGATGTTTTGGTGCTTTGTTTTTGCAAAATTCCTTCTTATATTTTTTTTATGAACGTGTTGATGAATCTTTTATGATTATTATTATTATAGATACCTGGGTACATTATTAGTAGGACTAGTAGTAGTAGTGAAGTTCAGGGGGGGGATATGGAGCAATTGAATATACTATTTCGCTTATACAGATAGTTTTGCTAGGATTACCCATCGTTACAGTGCATGCGTATCGACGTGTAAAACGGCGTTGAATGACTGGCGGTGAGAATGGGAATGTGTAAATACAACAAACATCCTACACTGTATGTTCGTACTGTAAGGTTTTACAAATCACGTGAAGCGATTCGAGGGCTTTTTTTTCCCCAGTGGGGTCACGCACACCCACTAAACCAAGCTTAGGGTCTCCGCCCACCACTAAAAAAAAAAAAAAAAGAGAGAACTGAAATTTCTCTCTGGGTGGGAAAACTTACCGTGGTTGTTGTGTGTGTGCCTTGTTCAACTAACCTTGCAGCATCTTCATTTCACGACCAGGTACGACGACCAACGCCATCCCCCTTCTCCCCCGTCGCGGACGATTGCTGCAGCAGCACGCAGAAAGACATCTAGATACTGACAATCGTCAACAAACAGCACAATGTCGCGTCCTACCGTCTCCATCATCGGCAAGGATGGTGCTCCCACTGGGGCCACCCACCCCATGCCCGCCGTCTTCTCGAGCCCCATCCGCCCGGACATTGTCCAGCAGGTTCACACCGGCATTGCGAAGAACAAGCGTCAGCCTTACTCCGTGAGCGAGAAGGCCGGTCACCAGACCTCTGCCGAGTCCTGGGGTACTGGTCGTGCCGTCGCCCGTATCCCCCGTGTCTCCGGTGGTGGTACTCACCGCGCCGGTCAGGCTGCCTTCGGTAACATGTGCCGCTCTGGACGCATGTTCGCTCCTACTAAGATCTGGCGCCGCTGGCACGTCAAGGTTAGCCAGGGACAGAGGTGAGTTTTTCACACACACACACACACATATATATATCTATATATAATATATATATATGTATACACATCCCCCATCGTTACCAACGAAAACACCCCACCGAAAAAAAAAAGAAAAAAGAGAGGGGATGAAAAAAAAAAAAGAAGACGAAGAAATGCTAACAATTACGTTAAAGGCGCTACGCCACCTGCTCTGCTCTGGCTGCCTCTGCTGCTCCTCCTCTGCTGATGGCCCGCGGCCACCAGGTCATGACCCTTGCCGAGGTTCCCCTCGTCGTCGACTCGGCCATCCTCGAGTCCGGTGCCGCCACCAAGACCGCTGGCTCCCTGGCCCTGCTCAAGGCCGTCGGTGCCGGACCCGACATCGAGAAGGTCAAGAACTCCAAGAAGATCCGCGCCGGCAAGGGCAAGCTCCGTGGCCGCCGCCACCGCCAGCGCCGCGGACCCCTGGTCATCTACGACGGCAACGTCGACGGCAAGGACCTCGTCCGCGGGTTCCGCAACATCCCCGGTGTCGAGACCTGCCCGGTCACGGCCCTCAACCTCCTCCAGCTCGCGCCCGGCGGCCACCTCGGCCGCTTCATCGTCTGGACCTCGGCCGCCTTCAAGGCCCTCGACGAGATCTACGGCTCCACCACCGAGCCCTCGGCCTTCAAGCGCGACTTCCTCCTTCCCTCGAACGTCATGTCCCAGTCTGACCTGGCCCGCCTCATCAACTCGTCCGAGATCCAGAGCTCCCTCAACGCCCCCAAGGGCGACGCCTTCACCCGCCGCTCCGCCGTCCAGAAGAAGAACCCCCTCCGCAACAAGCAGGTCATGCTCCGTCTCAACCCCTACGCCTCTGTCTTTGCTCAGGAGTCCCAGAAGAGCCAGGAGTAAATATTGGGGGCTTGACTGTTTTCTTCCCAATGGTTTACTAACTGCTCTTCTCTTTCTTTGCGTGGAGAAGGTATTTTGTTAATCTCCCCATCTCTTGTCCGTGCTGGGTGTGCAGTGGACAGGAACCAAAATTCAAATAAAAAGAAACCTTTTTGCCTTTTCTACTTCTAAGGGGTATAGATCAATGATCGATGCATGTGTGTACCGCTTGGAACTTGAGGGAGGCCTGGTATCGAAATGACTTTGCATGGCGTTACTACTGGCTTTCCGGGGAAATTAGGCGCACCCCGATTCTGACAAGAACTTGACGAGTACTTATTTTCTTCTTCAAAAGAAGAAGAAGATGAATGAGAAATTCCATTTGTTCAATGAGTTCCATGATTCTTTAGAAGTCTCTGTCTGAACTATGAGCCAGTACTTGCCGAGTACATGATATGTATAAAGTACCAAGTAATATCAAAAGCGTAGCGACATTTGTATTGGTGAAAAAAAAAAATGAAAAAAAAACCCCCCCCCAAAATCATTGCCTGACCCAGACAGCATGTATACCGATATGGAACAGCAACATCAACATCAGCACCCCATCATGCCCTGTCCCTCCAGATCCAGACCCCCTGCAGCACCAATATTATTATGAAACTCGTCCACCAGCGTCTCGATCTGATCGACCGACTTGATACGCCAGAACCTCTGCACGCCGTCCGCGAAGCCGTGAGCGCACGAGTCAATCCTCTCCTCTTCCTCGGCCGCGAAGCACAGACGGAAGAACTGCCACCCGCGGCGGGAGGCAATGTCCTCGTTTGCGCCAAACATGGCACCCGGGGACACGATGACGAGGTAGGGCTTGTGGGTGAGGAACATCATCAGGGCGGTGGACAGGACCGAGCCGTCGATGCGGGCCACCGAGTGGCCCCGGACCCGGAAGAGCGGGTGGCTCTCCAGGTGGACGCGCACCCAGATGAACATGCCGCCGCGGGGCCAGTCGAAGCTGAGCAGGCGAGTCTTGGTGATGACGCCCCATTCGGTGTCAAGTTCGCCGACTGTACTGCTAGCGGTGGTGGTGACGGCGTTGCTGTTGTTGTTATTGTTGCCGTAGCCGACGGCAGAGATGACGGGCGTCGACTGTTTCAGCTGGTACGACTTGCCGTCGAGGATGGAGCTCATCCTGTTCATGCGATTCTCGTACACACCCCTGAGACCCTCGAGCCAGCGCACCCAGCCGTCCATCTTCCACCCTTCAAAGGCGAGCTTCTCGCGGGCCGAGAGCGAGAAGAAGGTCTTTACCGTCTCGGCCTGGTGGTGGCCTATAACAAGTTGGGCGATGAGGGACTGCACGAAGCCGGAGGGCTGCTGTGTACTAGACTCGGTGATGCTTTTTGAGGGGAGGGGGGGGACAAAGGATCTGTTAGCGGACATTGCACTTCTTGTTTTTTGTCGAAGAATGAAACAAGGATGGTAGTTGCTGTTGCTCACCGTGTTATGCGCTCGATAATGGCCGGCTGGGCCGTGATCCAACCTAGACGGCTACCGGGGGCGACCGTCTTGGAGAAGGTATCGATGCGGATGACACGTCCGTCGGTGTCGACGCTCAGGTACGACGGGACGAGCGAGTCGAGGAAGTCGTAACCGCTAGACGTGGACGGCGTGTACGGGGCACCGTCGACGTCGGTCACGTCGCAGTTGCGCGACTCGGCCTCGGCACGCGCAGCAGACGGGTACTGGAGGTACCAGTAGGGATCGTCCTCGGCGATGATGAGGTCGTACTCGGAGCAGAGGGCGTAGATCTCGCGGCGCCTCTGGACGGACAGCACGCCGCTGGTGGGGTTGTGGCCCATGGTGACGGTGTAGACGAGGCTGGGGCGGCGTCCCTTGGTCGGGTCCCAGCTGTCGAGGACGTCCTTGAGGCCTCCGGGACCGTGGGCCAGCATGCCCTCGGAGTCGTACTCGACGGGGGTGACGCTGACGCCCCTGGCCGCGGCCGTGTCCGGGGCGTTGCGGTAGACAAAGGCCTCGCACACCAGGCCGGGACGCTCCTCGATGGGGTCGTGGTACGGCGACCACGGGTCGAACAGCAGCTCGACCGTCTTGGAGAAGCCGTCGGTGGCGCCGCAGGTGAGGATGACCTCGGGCCCCCCCGCGTAGGGGACATTGGGATGCAGGTTGTTCCTGGTGAACTGACGCACAAACGAGAGCAGGGGGGGGTATCCCGACGCGGTGCCGTACTGCAGGGCCGTGGCGACGTCGATCTTGCTGAACGGGTCGGCGGTGGGGTCCGACTTGGGGACTGTCAGGTGCAGTGCCGTGGCTGGGTCAACATTGCTGCTGCTGCTGCTGCTGCTCGTGTCGTTGTTGGAGTTCCTGGGAGTCCATCGCCGAGGTTGGGCGACCTGAGCCTCCAAAGTGTCAAAAGGGAAGAGCTTCTCATTCGGAAGGCCTGGTAGATTCACGATGTTAGTCTAGAGAGAGAGAAGAGAGAGAGAGAGAGGGCTGCAGTTGCGGTACGGGAAGCTAGTGAGAGCCGTGATGCAGCCTGCCGATCGATGGGGGGAAGATTGTGTGTGTGTGTGTGTGTGTGTGTGTGGTGGGGCGGTGAGACACCACATGGTGATGCCGAATTTGAGGAGAAGAGGACTCATGTAGGGGGAGTTGACAGACAGAAAGAGAGAGAGAGAGAGAGAGAGAGAGAGAGAGAGAGAGAGAGGGAGGGAGGGAGGGAGGAAGAGAGATGATGATACCTCCGGCCAGGTTTCCGATTCCAGGAATCTGGAAAAAGTGATAAAACTTCTTAATGGCACTCTGCGTCCGGTTCTTGGTCGTGCGCGAGTAGTGGTGGCTCAAGTCGCACGGAGGGGACAGTTGTGGAGATGAAGCCATGATTTCGCTTGCTCTGTCGCCTTGTTCTCGATAGAAAGGGTTGCGTACTAGTGTTGCTAGTATATGTGTATATGTGCGTTAGAGGGTGAGAGCGAGGGGCCGATTCTTGGCGACGGCCACGGAATCGTCGCTGGGCCTGAATAAGCAGGGAATTAAGAGATAAGGGGGGTGGGAAATATGGGGAGCACAGCGACGTCGGAGTCAGCCATATATCAGAGGAGTTGGGAAGAAACGGTGTGCGTGTGCGTGTGTTGCAGAGTAACCAATCCTGTGGCTGTTTGAGGGAGAAGGGAGGAAGTAGAAGGGAACAAGTAAGAGGAGGAGAGAGGAGGAGGAGGAGAGAGAGGGGGAGGAGGAGAGAGAGGGAGAGGGAGAAAGTCGGGAAACGAAAAGACAGAGAATCAGAGTCAATGAGCACGATTCACTGCGTCGATGGTGCAAAAAGCAAGTTGTGGAGACTGTTACGACGTAAGAACGCTGCACGGCCTTGTGCTCATACCATGTACGGTATCACGACATGCCGACCGAAACTGATTGCCGCGGACAATGGGAGGGAGGGTATTGATATCGCATGTAGGGATGGACATCCGCTGCTGGGAGGTCAGCAACGACTGACAAATACACTCTCAGAGGTCGATTCACCTTGACGTGCCATTATATATATATATATAATGTATATGTATATATGTGTATATGTATATATATACATGTTATTACCGAGAGTGTGTAGCCGGACTACTCATTCAAGTAATATCAGTACTGACTGCTGATTACGTCTCTCAAGACAGCTGTGATGCTCTTACTAAGCAGTAATCTTACCGGTAATATTATCATATATTAATACATCACGTATGAATACGAGTACTGCAGTTGGCTGGTAGAAAGCCTCCGTTGCACTCGACTTGCACCTCTCATGCCCTTGGTATCCACTTCTCCGCAGGCTGCCAACTCCCAATACATCCATGCCTAAGCACCTTTCAACCGATAAGCCCAACTCTCGGGCCTCAGAGACGGGCCTCCGAGACGGGCCTCCGAGAGGGTCAAAGCTCGAGATCGGTACGACAAGACATTGATCCTCATCACCACATCGTCGACACCACTACCGTACGAGTGCAGGTCCTGCCACCAAAAACTCTACCCAGCCCCGATCATGTCGAGCTCGGAATTCGTCGGTTCGTCATCTCACTATACCTTTTGCTTATCGTCTCATCTTGTGAGACGTCTTGTTTTATTCTCATTATATTTTTATTGGTTACAAGGTTTTGGTTCGGAGAAGAAAAAAGTCGTATTGGCAGCCTATATATATATATATATATATGTATCTTCTTGTCTAATCAGCAGCACCGCACATGGTCTATGACGATGTCGCGATGTCGGCAGAGGCCGTGTCGGCAGCCGTCTTCTCGACGGCGGCCTTCTCAGCGGCGGCCTTGGCCTCCCCCGCCTCGGCAGGCTCATAGTGCAGACCGAGCTCGTCCAGGGTGGTGGCCGTGCACCCCTGCTGCTCGAAGCGCAGCTTGGCGATGGGGAACAGGCTCCTCTGCCAGAACTCGAAATCGCCCCACCTGGGCGGCACCTTGCCGAGATGGGTGGCCTGGACGGCCCAGTCGTGCAGCTCGTTGTGGTAGTGCCCGTCCTCGGGGGACTTGAAGACGTGGATGCGCGGGCTCCTCTCCTCCGTCAGCTTCCTGCTCCAGGCCTCCATGACGTCCCGGCCCGGCAGCCTCAGCTGGTTGGACCAGAGGCCGGCGTAGACGGCGGCCTGGACCTCGGCCAGCGGCCAAGGGATGGCCATGATGTTGAGGCAGGGGAAGGCCAGCGTGGGGTGGTCCACCGAGACCAGGTGCCTGTACAGGCCGTGGACGCCCCTGCCGTCGGTGATGAGCCTGCGCTGGATGTCGTCCGGCAGGAAGGGGAAGCTGTAGAGGAAGCCGGTGCAGAAGACGATCCTGTCCACGCCCGTCTCCACGCTGCCGTCCGACAGGCGCACGCTCCGCCCGTCGCCGGGGAGGAACTCGACAATCTCCGCCACCTCGCGGCAGCCGGTGTGCTCGAGGCGCTCGGCCGGCGTCGGCTCCTTGACCGACAGCAGCGCCGGCTGGCGGCTGAAGGGGCTGATCTGCGCGGCAATGTCGGTGCCCGACGGCCCGTTGCCCACCACTATCACCTTCTTCCCCCTGAAGGACTCGCCGCTGCGGTACGCCTTGGAGTGCATCACCACGGACGGGTGCGCCTCGTCGAAGTCGGCGATGCCCTTGATGTCCGGGATGAAGGGCGTGGAGTAGTGCCCGTTGGCCACCACCACGGCGTCGTACGTCCCGCGCACCACCTCGTCGCTCACCGTGGACCGCGCCTCGAGGCGCCACCGGTCGTGCACGCCGTCCGCGCTCTTCTCCAGCGCCACGTCGCTGACCCGGAAGCTGAACCGGATGGAGTCCCGCACCTCCTCGGCGTACCTGACCAGGTACTCCTGGATCGTCTCGCGACGGGGGAAGACCCATCCCCCCTCGGGGAAGTCCTGGTCCGAGAACTTCATCAGCGTCCCCGGGATGTTGGCGTGGAGCTTCTCGTACATGGGCGACGGGAAGAGGGGTCCGGCACCGCCGCCCCCTCGGACGAGCGGCTTGTCCGGCGGCAGGAAGGGATCCGCCTGGGGCACCGGGCACGGCGCCGCCGGGGGCTCCTTGCTGTAGTACCACACTCCTCCGACCTCATCCTCCTGCTCGTACACGTCCACCTTGTCAAACGTGCCCTGGGCCAGGAGGTACTTTGCCGTCGCGAGGCCGCACGGCCCAGCTCCGATGACGGCTATCCTGCGTACGTCGAAATCCCCGCCCGCGGATGGTGCCATATCTGTAGGTGACCGACCGAGGACGCGTGAGAAGAGTCTTTGCAAGAATTTCATGGTAAGAGAGATAGATAAAACCTTCTCTTCGCTCTCCTTCTCTCTCTCTCTCTCTCTCTCTCTCTCACACACACACACACACACACAAAGAAATTAGCCGCTCAATCCCAAACGGAATGACGCCTTAATAGTGCAGGTTTGACGTGAGGGGCTCGGGGGATGGGCTCGGAGGGGCCCCCCAATTGTATATGTATATCATTCGACTTACAACTCCCGACCGATCCACTTCTCGTACGTTGGTGGGGCTCTCGCCGGATACCGGGTGGAGGCTTAATTGTGTGATCCGATAAGAGAGAGCCTCTGACTGATTAGATAAGAGATAACGATCGATGACGGTTCTCTCCGGGAAGACTCTTGTACGTAAAGAGCTCCGCACACACCGCCTTCCTCCTCTGGACAGGGCAGATCGCGCGTGGCTGCTTGCCAGTTGCCCACCAGTCACATACGCAGCTTGTCAGCCAACTGCACGGCAGCCGATCCAACACTTCTATCCTAACCATTCCGCGTCACCGCATGGTGAATCTCTTCCGAAGTTCCTACAGCTCCATTAATTCTTTTTTTTCTTTACTCTTCTCCGTTTCACTTCCTTCCCTGTTCCCATCTCCCCTCCCCGATATGCCACCGCTTCGTCTCCCTTGACCGCCGCTACGTCGACAGAATACCCAGCTTAAGAAAGCTCCTGACGGGGGGCCATCGCGTCCCGACCAAGGAAAAGAAAGCATGGCCAACGACAGTGATGGAGAATCGCTCCGGTGCGCTGAGGTTACGCCAATCTCACAGCTCAATCCCGAACTATCGTCCACCGTCGTTTTCGGTGGCGAGGTCACAATCACCTGGCCCTTCAGCATCGTCACCAAGTCCTTGGCTTTCAAGCTGGTAGAGTCCGACTTCCGTCTGCGCCTGAACAAGGGACAGGTGCGCGTCGAGTTCAGCGGTGCTGCAGCCAGAGCCGTCGCCGAGGCATCGATCGGCGGAGGTGACCAGGTCCGTCTGAGTCTCGAGGGTGCCCAGTGGGAAGACTCACCGCTCCCCGTGCGACCCGACACGCTGCAGTGGCAGATCAATTTCACGCGGAAGCTTCGTCTGCTGCTGCGCCGTGCCGACTCCGACAGAGATGGCGAAAGCATAGTTGTCGACGCCTCCGACGAAGAGGAGGAGAAGGACGCCGCCGCCGCCGCCGCCGCGCCGCCGTCTACGTTCCCGCTGCCGGAACCGTCGACGCCCGAACCCGCTCGCTTCGAGAGCATACCCCTTCCCAGGACGGCTGGCCCGGCCTTCCCGGCGGCAAAGAGGTTCGCTTCCGCGGCCTTTGATGACGATGAGTACGCGTCGCCCGCGTTTCTGAAGAGGGCCAGGGTGTCGTATGGATCCCTGTTCGAGGACGGCCTGGACCCCTTCGAAGAAGACGATGAGACCAAGACCGGCCGGAAGAAGAAGAGGAAGCGCGGACGCTTCAGCATGCATGCCAACTGGCGGTATGCGAGCCGCACGCCGAGCCCTGAGCCGGAGGTGGAAGATGCCGAATCCGGTACCCCTGGGCAGGAAGAGTCCCCCCAACAGCAGGAGGAGCATGTGCAGGGAGAAGCGCCTGTTACGCCTGTGCTGCGGGGCTCATCAGTGATGGGTGAGGGGTCCCAGACCATGGATGATGCTCCCGTAGATGCACCCAGCGTGCCGCCAGCGGGAGGTGGCCTAGAAGTGACGGCGCCATCATCGCCCACACCAGCTGGAGCTCAGCTGGCTGCTGTGCCGGAGCTCGCCTCGCATCATATACCAGAGGCGCCTGCCGTACCGACAGAGGAGGAGCCGGCGCGAGCACCCGAACCGACACACCAATACACGGATATCGACAGCCACGAATTCCACGACGACGACTTCGACACCGCCATGGAGATGCACGATGCTGCTGGATCCCACCTCCTGCCCGGGGACAAACCGGAGTTTCCCCCGGGCTCGATATCCGGTCCCGCCGACGACTTCTACTCGGCACCGATGGACTTTGGCCACCCCGAAAGCGTGCTCCCCGATCAGATGTATGCACCGCTGGACCATGACGAGTTCCACCAGCAGCACCCCGCAGATCACCAGCACCCCCACGCTACCGAGATCCCGTCGCCACAGGCTCTAGAAAACGACGGATGGGTAGCAGCAGTAACATCCATGGCACCGATGGAATCTGATCCTTCAAGCTATTACCACGCGCCACAAAATGACTTTGAGAACCCCGTCGAGATCATCGACAGCTCTTCCCCGCCTAGGGCACCCAGTCCAAGGCCTAAACCTCGGTACGGAGACGAGCAGCCTAGTGCTCAGCAGGAGCGGGAGGGAGAGCAAGACGTGGCGGCAGACGAGGAAGAAGGAGAGGAGGCACAGAATTCGTCGATGGATGCCGATGGGGATGACGACGATGCGCCATCCATAAAAAGTCAGGAAGTCATACAATATCCCGACGACGTAGACGACATCGATCAGGACGATGATGGCAAGGATGTCTCAGGGGAGGACTACGATCTACGAAATTACCAAGATACCCAGGATGACGTCGCCGAGGAGTCTGGTGCCAGTGCTGTTGGGGACGAGGATGGGGACGAGGTTGGCTCTGATGACCAGGTTGGTGACTCTAAGGAGAAGGTTGGGGAGGAGAGTGAAGAGGATGAAGAGGATGAAGAGAAGGAGGAGGAGCATAGGGATGAGAATATAGCACCACCTGAGCAGAACGATCGCAACCCTTTTGGTCAGGATGTCGAGGAGGAGGAGTACTCATCTCGGGATGAAAAAGGAGGAGAACAATACTCTGACGAAGGCGAGGATGTCCAACAAGAACAAGGCGAATACGATGTGGGACACTACGATGAAGACGACGAGATGAGTGAGGACGAGGACGACAAGGACTCGGGAGATAACTCAGAGCCTGAGGAAGAAGAAGATGAAGAAGAAGAAGAAGAGGAGGAGAAGGAGGAGGAGGAGGAGGAAGAGGATGAACCGGCACTCGCAGCATCGCAAGACCCCGTCTTCATTTCCCTATTATCAGACTCTGAGGATGGAGATGAAGACACAGAGGAGAGGCCAGAGGAGAGGCCAGAGGAGGAGAAGGAAAAGGGAAAGGAGGAGTCAGCCAAAGCTTCCCCACAGCCCATCAGCCGACAGCCTGTGGAATCGCCTCCCGTCAAGGAACCCGTCGAGGAACCCGTCAAGGAATCCATCGAGGAACAATGCGGGGAAACCCCCGAGGAATCTACAGAAAGGGACACAGTCACATATGACGTCCGCGATGAGAAGACTACGACGGAGAACGCCGATGCCGACGCCGACGAATCAAAAATCCAAGACCAGCCAGTCCCGTCCCAGCCCATGGAAACCCAGGTCACGGAATACGAACCCCAACCACCAGCCCCTCCCCAGTCCATGGAAACACAGACGACCCAGTATGAGTCCCAACCGTCAGCTCAGAATGAGGTGGCATCGACAGAGGCAGAGCAGGTAGACTCGCAGGAGGGCATGGTGGTCGACGACACGCAGCAGCGTCCGGGTGCGTCCGAAGTCGAAGACACTAAACCCGGCGACGAAAACGAAAATGGAGATGGCGTGTCAGAAGTGTCGGTGACGCAAGACGCAGACGGCCAGAAGGCTCCGACAGATGTGGTTGCGACCGAGCCTTCTGCTGCTGCTGCTGCTGCTGCTGCTGCTGCTGCTGCTGCTGCTGCTGTTGATGATGAGCCTACAACCGAGACTGGCCACGTGACCGAGGAATCTGAAGACGTACTCATGGACGTGGACGAGGAGACTACGCATGCTGGAAACAAGGAGCCCGGTTCGCCTACGGAGATGCACGAGATGCACGATGTGCAAATGTCTGAGGCCGAGAATGCAGAGGTCCTGGAGCATGTGGATGCGACAGAGGTGGATGGTGCACCAGCTACTACTGCTCAGGAGCAACAAACGGCAGGCGTTGAGACGGAAGAGCAACGGCCGGATACGACACAAGTCTCCGAGGACGGCAGGGGAAAGTCTCAACAATCCGAGGCTACAGAAGCTTTTACACCCACCTCTGCCGCTCCCTCTGACACCGAGGAAGCGGCTGCCACAACGTCACTGTCACCGGCCAAGGGAGATGCCGAGGTTGCCGACGGCAGCACACCAGTCGGGGCAGCATCACCTCTCGCGACAGAGTCAGATGAGGAAATGGCGGATGCGGATGCGGATGCAGATGTGGACGTGGTGGTGAAGGAAAGGAGACGGGTTGAGGAGGCTGGACAACTCCCGACCCCGCGTGAGACGCAGCAGGGTGCCCCCCCTGCCCCTGCCGCAGACGAGACGCAGCGGCAGCAGCCGGACGAAAGGGAGGACGATCGAGGAAATGGGAAGGAGATGGTGGATGGTGACGGTGACGAAGAAGATCCGGAAGCTGAATACTCGTTCGCGGCGGAGCAGCAAATCGTGAGGGAGTCCCAGCAGCAGTACGAGGACGACGACGAGGACGATGAGGAGGAAGCATCATCGGCTGCAGCAAGCCAAGTCGAACAAGAGCACGCCGAGGACCAGCAGCAGCAGCAACAGCAAGGCTCACGTACAGGAGAGAGAGCCCATGAGGCGAGCATGGCGAGCACAGAGATAGCCGGTGCTCCGGGATTGGACGGTGTCAAGGACGATCCGCTGATCACGGTGCATTCACTACGTAGCAGGGACCGGAGGAGCGCGTCTGCTGTGATGGACGAGGATCCGAGCATCGCCCTTGCACGGGATTGGGAGGCCAACAGTGACGACGACGACGACGACGACGACAGCAGCAGCAGCAGCAGCAGCAGCAGCAGCATCATCCAAGACAACCACGACGACACCAACCAGGGAGATCAGCTGTATCGGCAAGATGACAATGAAGATCAAGATTCCATGCCGACGATCAGGGTGATAGATGGCAAGGTCGGAGATGGGGACGCAAGCGTCGGTCTAGCCAGGTCTGCGGCAGTGGCACATGGGTTGGCGATGGCGGGGCCGACTCGGAAGATTGCGGGGGAGACAGAATCAGCTACATCGATCACATCAGCAGCAGCAGCAGCAATAGAAGCGGCGGCAATAGAAGCGGCGGCGGCGGCGGCAGCACCAGCATCCCAGACTGCAGCCACAGAATCTCCGACGCTAGTCGCCAAGGTCGACGGGAGGAGCCGAAGCAAGAGCATCGCCAGCCAATCACCGCCGAACAGATACTCGACGGCAGACTCGGAGGAGTACAACAGCAGCATGAGCACGAGCAATCTCAACGAGTACATTCTTAGGCTGAGGGTGCAGCTGGGACGAGACCTGCGGACCAAGCTGGGGGGCTTCCTCCCTCTCAAGAACCTGCGCGGCTCGCTGGGCCGCACCTCGGACTTTATGGGCGTGGCGACGGCGACGCCGGGACAGGCCACGCGGCCCCGCGGCGGACCGCGGGACTACATGCTCGAGCTTGCGCTGACGGACACGTCTGCGGCGGCGGCGACGGTGACGGTGGCGCACGTCTTCCGACCGCACCTGGCGTCCCTGCCAGCGGTGAGGCAAGGTGACGTGGTCCTGCTGCGGAGGTTCCAGGTCGTGGCCATGAAGGGTCGGGGGTTCGGGGCCCGCTCGGGCGATGAGTCTGCCTGGGCCGTGTTCGAGGCATCATCACCATCCGCATCCGCATCTGCCAGCGGTACCGGTAACAGAAGCAGCGGCAGCGGCAGCAACAGAAAGGGACAACTAGATGGTCGAGGAGACGGAGGAGAGGATGACGGCGACGACGCCCCGCAGATCAAGGGTCCTCCGGTCGAGGTATCGGAGGTAGAGCACGAGTACGCCAGGGGTCTGAGGAGGTGGTGGGGTATGCTGGATGATGGGGCGAGGGAGAAGGTGGCAAAGGCGACGCAGAGGAAAATTTCGGCTCAGAGGTAATCTTTTCTCTCTCTCTCTCTCTCTCTCTCTCTCTCTCTCTCTCTCTCTCGGTCTCTTTTTTTTTTTCTTTTTCGTTTTTTTTTAAAAAAAAAAATTCATGACCAAAAAACAATAATGTATTATTTTTAATGTTGCTCTTCTCTTTTCTCTGATCAGATATCTGTGGAGTAAGCTAGGAAGTCTCACAGATGGAGATGAAATCCCATGTATATGCATCATGTATGGTATTGCTTGGTATTGCTTGGAAGAACCGTGGCTTGTACCGTATACTTTCAAGGTACAGAGATGGGTTGTGGAGTATCAGATGCAGGCTGTTGCATGGATTGCATGCATGTGTCATGCGTATGTGTGTACATGTGTGTGTATTGTGTGTGATGATGTTTTAAGGATGGTGATGTTTCTGATGAGGGGGGTTTTTGGTTGTAGGGTAGTGATTCTTTCGTCATGTACAAGAGAAAACCGAAAACATTTGGGCCAAGGTCACTAATAAAGACTTCCGATTACCGGCGCGTCACCCATGTTTTTACATTTTTTATATTATTTTTTATACATTTTTTTTATATCATTTTTTATATTATATTACATATATATATATATATATGTGTGTGTGTGTGTGTGTGTGTGTAATCCAACGGCCAGATGCCACCACAAAGGAGGAAAGGTTGTTCCCGTGATTGGGATAATGTTTGGCCTCGGGGGGAACGTGTTGAATACTTGGACGGAGTAATGAGTAACCTGTCGACCTAATCGGTTATCTGTAGTATGATTCATTCAATATCGGATAACGTCATCTCTTACACGTAGGATGGCATGGGATGGAAAACGACAACGGCCAGGGCTCTCCATTAAGAAAAAAAAAAGGATCTGATGCCATAGTTGCATAATATGAAGAAGCTGATGGAAAGAACAGCAACAGTTGGGATCGGACGCTACCGTGAGTGAGTATGTGTTGTGTGTGTGAGTTTGTGTGTGAGTTTGTGTGTGAGTGTGTGTGAGTGTGTGTGAGTGTGTGTGAGTGTGTGTGTGTGTGCGTGCCTGTCTGTCATGTGTGGGTGAATGATGGGATATTTTATCGCATATAATACCATCGTACATGAATGAGATAAATACCATCGTACGTGAGATAATACCATCATCGTACATGTTGACTCGTAGTGCTTCTCGGGCAAAATCGGGGAGCCAAGACCATGACGGGCATGTTCCGAAGGGATCAGATCAAGGTCTTGAGTGCCTGACTAACCTGTATGGGATATTACTGTAGTTGGGAGAGTGACTTTTTTATTTTATTTTATCTTGAATATTTATATATTCGAATCAAATATTTCATCTCTCCTTTTTTTTTTTTTTTTTTAAAAAAAAAAAAGGTGCAGTGCCGAACCCTGGTTACGACTCCACTAATCTGTAGTGATACTATTATTACCACGAATGCTGGAAGAGTCTTGCAAGTTTATCACTCGCAGAGTGCAGCCGTCGTACTCCGTAGTGGTACGACTACTGGGATCGCTGCTTCGACATGGGTGATTTGGCGATTGCGGCGCGTTACTACGGAGTACATATTATCGAGGTCGTCGTGATGCCGTGTAAAATCGTTGTTTCATCCCACTGCTCGTGCGTGCGTGTGTGCGTGTCGCAGCGTGCCACAGTGCGTGTAGCACAGTATGTATATGTACATAGACTGTGCATGAGAATGTCATGTCGTTGCTGTACGACATGAACAATGCGGGAGAGAGAGAGAGAGAGAGAGAGAGAGAGATATGAATGATGATGGGCGATCATTGTCGAGTAGGGATTGAAAGGAGTCAAGTACACGAGAAGAAAGAAGAAGAAAAAGATGTACGGTATGTGAGTGCTCGTAATACAACGTAACGGATTACTCGAGTTGTAAACTGTGCAGAGTATCACCTCATAGTATGATGCATATCACTCCCCGTACAGATGGATACTTGACGAGTATCACTCCGTGAATCCGTACGAGTAGGTAAGAATAATAATGATGATGATGATAATAATAATAATAATGGTGATGGGGCGTCAGAGAGTCAAGACAAAAAGAAGGCACAAAGGCCTCCAGGGCCCGGAAGTTGTCCGCGGTGGGGCTGGGGCTTATAAACTCGCCCGGGACGATCTAGCGGTCGGTCGAGGGAGAGGGTCAAGGCTTTCCGTGTCTGATGTTTTTTTTTTTTTCCTCCTCACCCTCGACATTTTAGGGGTTGGGTTATTATCACGGCTACGAAGAGTACGGATACTGCGAGAGGTATTCCGTATAGTATTCGTATGTACAGTACAGGTGAAGATTTTCTGGTTTGGTTTGGTTTGGGGGGGTTTCTAAAAAAAAAAAAAATTATAGAAGAAAAATTAGGAATGAAAAAAAGAGAAGAGAGAAAAAAAAAAAAGAAGCATGTATTTCTGTACCTCTCCGATCTCTTAGCGGTTTCGGGGATTGTGGCTTTTTTTTCTTTCTCGGTCCTATTCTGCCATTGATAAAGATGACGAGAGAGAGAGAGAGAGAGAGACAGAGAGAGCTATTTAAAAGCTATCTATCAGTATCGGCAGCAGAGGGGAAAAAAAGAACGAGAGAAAAAAATAGGGGACACGCGCGATAATATATATATCTCTTCAATACATGTACTAGCTGTAGTAGCTGTAGTAGCAGCAGCAGTAGCTAAACCCCGATACCGGTGGCAGCTTCTCTTAGCTGTCGCCTGTAAGTAGTAGCCTGCAACTAACTAAACCGCTCCTGACCCCCTTCCTCTTATTGTTCCTCTCTCTCTCCTTCCTTCTCTCCTTCTTTCCTTCTTTCCTTCTTTCTTACAGAGAGAGAAAAAAAAGACGATTCCCACGTGGTGCATCAATAAATCCCCCTCCCCCCCCCGGACATAGACCGAGGCACGTTTTCCAAACGACTTAACTCGTACTGCTATGACTTACGTGTATACCCATCATCGTACGAGCACATAATCATGAGACAATCAACCGTTCGAGCTTCGAGGCTCCTCGTCTCTATAAGACGACCTCTTCCTGCCCATCTGCTCTCCGGATACCCTACTCAGACCATCATCGCTCTTGGTCCTCGCTCGAGTGGTCTATCATCGTCAGCATCAGCATCAACGTCTGCATCGGCGTCTGCATCTCTCGCTGCCTCTTCAGCTTCCTCACCCTCTTCTCAAGAGGAGGAGAATACGCACCGGTCGCCTTCCCTTGCCCACCCCGTCGACGACGCGGGTCCTTCTCCTACCTACCCCACAATCGCCCACACCACCCAGGCCCCTGCTATTGCTAGCACAGCCGCTACTGCTGCTCCTCGGCTCCGTACCACCGCCCGCTTTGCAGGTACCGCTGCCGCTGTTGGACGTGCTGCGTGTGCTGCTCCTACGGCGAGGACCGCCCTCCCTCGCTCCTCTTCCTCTCGGCCCTGCCCGTCCACCATGACCGTCGACGGCTCTCTCCTCTCGTCCGCCACAAACGGCCGTGTCCTCGACAACCAGCTTCGCGCCTACTCTACTTCTGCCTCTGCTCCCACCGCCACCACCACCACCGCAGAGGACACTTCTACCGGCACCATGCGCGGCCACCAAGTCTTGCGTGAGCCTCTGGCTAACAAGGGTATGTTCCGCCGCCTCCTCCGCCCGACCGCCCTCCGACCCGAACCCTCCCGGTGATCGGCGACGACGTCCCGCGACTGCAACGGTACTGACACAGAACCGCCCCAGGCCTCTCCTTCACCCCCGAGGAGCGCCACAGGTACAAGCTCACCGGCCTCATCCCCCACACCGTCGAGTCGCTGGACGCCCAGTGCGCCCGCGCCCTGAGCGTGCTCCGTTCGCGTCCCAGCCCCGTCGACAAGTACCTGTACCTGTCGACCGTCAAGGGCCAGAACGTCGACCTGTTCTACCGCCTGGTCATGGGCAACGTGCGCGAGCTGATGCCGCTGGTGTACACGCCCACCATCGGCGACGTCTGCCTGCAGTACTCGTCGCTCTACACCCGACCCGAGGCCCTGTACGTCTCCATCAAGCAGCGCCACGCCATCCGCGACATGCTGCGCAACTGGCCCTACGCCCCTCCCGACATCTGCGTCGTCACCGACGGCTCCCGCATCCTCGGCCTGGGCGACCTGGGCATCAACGGCGTCGGCATCCCGATCGGCAAGCTGGCGCTGTACACGGCCGCGGCCGGCATCCACCCCGGCAAGACGCTGCCCATCGTCCTCGACTGCGGCACCAACAACGAGGCCAACCTGGCCGACCCGCTGTACCTCGGCCTGCGCCAGAAGCGGCCCTCGCCCGAGGAGCAGCAGTCCTTCATGGACGACTTCATGGAGGCCGCCTCCGACGTCTACCCGGACATGGTGGTGCAGTTCGAGGACTTCGAGACGGAGAAGGCCTTCAACTACCTGGAGCGCTACCGCGACCGGCACAGGTGCTTCAACGACGACGTCCAGGGCACCGGGGCCGTGGTCCTGGGCGGCTACATCGGCGCCGTGGACCTCTCGGGCGTGCCGCTCGAGGACCAGCGGCTCGTCTTCATGGGCGCCGGCTCGGCCGGCGTCGGCGTCGCCAAGCAGCTGATGGAGTACTACACGCGCCGCGGCCTGAGCGAGGACGAGGCCCGGTCCAAGTTCTACCTGGTCGACACCAAGGGGCTCGTGACGGCCGACCGCGGCGACAGGCTGGCCGAGCACAAGAAGTACTTTGCCCGCACCGACAACGCCGGCGTCCAGTTCCGCACGCTGGAGGAGGTGATCGAGCACGCCAGGCCGAGCGCCCTGGTGGGGCTGACGGCCACCTTCGGCGCCTTCACCGAGACGGCGGTGCGGGCGCTGACGGCCTCGGTCGACGCCCCCGGCGTGCCCGGCCGCCGGCCCATCCTCTTCCCGCTGAGCAACCCCCTGACCAAGGCCGAGTGCACGTTCGAGCAGGCGGTCGAGTGGACCGACGGCCGCGCCGTGTTCGCCTCGGGATCGCCCTTCGACCCCTTCACCTCCCCGCGGGACGGCGTGACCTACCACCCGAACCAGGGCAACAACGTCTACGTCTTCCCCGGCCTGGGCCTGGGCGCCATCCTCGCCAAGGCCACGGCCGTCACCGACGGCATGGTCTACTCGGCCGCCGACTCGCTCGCCCGCTCGCTCACGCCGGAGGAGAGGGAGCTGGGCCTGATCTACCCGCGCATCGAACGCGTCAGGGACGCCAGCCTCGTCGTCGCCAGGGAGGTCATCAAGGCGGCCGGGAGGGACGGGGTGTCTGCCCTGCCCGAGAGCCAGTGGGCCGAGTGGGAGGAGTGGGGGGATGCCGCCATCGAGATGTATATCAAGAAGAGGATCTACGATCCCGTCTCGTTTGACGATGGCAACGTTAGCAGGCTGTGACATCTTCTCTTTTCCCTCTTCTCTCTCTCTCTCTCTCTCTCTCTCTCTCTCTCTCTCCCTAGCCTCTATCTGCATGGGTTGTCTCATCTGCTTAGATGTGGCAAAAAAAAAAAAAAAGTAAATTTGATTCTGCTCGCTGCTTATCAATTTTTTTTTTTGCGTATTTCTTTTCTTTTACACTTCTCTTTCCTTTTTTTTTTATACATAGATATATAGATAGGTATATATATGTGTATATATACATATAGATACTCACCATGTTCAGGTTTTTAGAGATCTATTTCATTTACATAACTGTTTTCTTTTCCCCCGTTTATCTTATCCTCCATCTTTCTAATTTTTCTCTTCTCTTGAAAGAATCACTGTCGGACTTTTGACACCTGTCTGTGGTCCTCGTCAGATTGGAGAATGGTAGTGACCGCATCTGGAGAAGACATGGCATGTGATTTGTGTCTTGTGATGGACGTCAGCCTCGACATGTGAAGATGAGACTGGCAGGCAGACGTACACATACGACCTGAGCATGCATGGTGAGACTGCGTGCTATGCTTGTTTCTGTAGCTGTGCTGCGACTCTGTCAGCTGCCGAAGGAGATTACCGCTCACGGAAAGATGGATCTACATGTGTAGAGAAGTACGCTACGCATATCGGCAGCAGTGGCTGGTGATGGTAGTATATAGTAGTATGTAGTAGTATATAGCAGTATATAGTCATAGTCGTAGTAGCAGTCAGCGGTCATAGCAGCAGCAACAGGTCCCGTCCCACGTCCTGTCCAACCTCGGCATATAGTTTCCTCCATCGGTCGACTATTCGTGAGACATGACATAAGCACGGTGACTCCCATGTGGATGTCACGTGTGAGTCTCAAACAATGGCGTTCCTGATCCATGTTGTTGATCCGATTAACACGATTTCTTGGTTCGGGGAGAAGTAGTAGAATTAATTACGAGTACCTGCAATATTATATATACTCGTGTTCTGATAAGAGAGGAGAAGAAGAAAAAAAAATCTGATAGGAAGAGATTAATAAGGGGAAAAGAGGGAGAGAGATAAACAAGAGAAAAGAAAAGACTGACGGAGAAAAAAAAAGTCTCTTGGTGTGTACCCAGATACCCCCATCTCTGAACGGGGTAAAACATATACCTCATCTCTGACTGGGGTAAAACATAGTATAGAAAGTCAGAGACCAATACCACTCCATACAATTGCCAAGTTCTCAATCCCCCCATTATGATCAGTCTATTGCAGCGCCCCCCCCCCCCCCCCC